CTAAAGGAAAACAACCCAAGCTGATACCAAGAGGGGGCTCCAAGTCCATGGACCCGCAAGCTGAAACGGTCCATGATGAGATCGTCCGCATGGGTGAAGGGGGGAAAGTCGTCCCCTCACAAAACGGCTGGCAACATTGCCTCAACTCCGCATGTCGAGGTCGTCACAAGGTCTGAGTGGCTGGGACAACAACCCTCTCCGGCGGCCGCTGAGCAGCAAAGTCAACCCTAAGAAATTGGGGAACAGCCGCCGCATACTCATTTGGCCAAGCTTCGTGTACCATCTTCTCCATCCTTTTCGGCAAGTATAGACACCTGATTGTGTCTCCCCAAAAACCAAACCCAGTGATGAGTACCTTTCATGTCTTTGATTATCGAGTTCAGTGAAGAGTTGAAAAGTCTCGTGAAGTTCCCTTAAGCCTTCACCATATTCTAACCTTACCTAAAATGTATTAAGACAAAATCATTCATTTCGTGTCTAGTCCATAAAAATGTCCAAACTAGATTTTTTTTCATAATCCTCGTCCAATTATTGTTTAGTTGGATGGGACTTGAAAAGAACTTTCTAACGATATACTATAAGCCCAAATTCGACTTATAACGAAAAAGTTATCGCCAAAATACTAAACTAAGCCCGAACCAAGCCTTGCCTGCGACCCAATGATCATGAGGAGGGTCCATTTACCTTAATACCATTCCTAAACCCATTAGGATTTATTATAAGCTTCTAGAATCCTCTAGAAGGTTCTAATTTATCTTGTTTTCGAAAAGATAAAGATTTAAGAATTTTATATCGGATAAAGCATCTGTTTTTAAATGTCCTAATCCCGGTCAAAATAGAATACATACAGGTATTTTGTTAACCCAATCCAATTGGGAATCAAAATCCGTATGCTATCTATCTTTTTCAAAACCATCGCTGAGTGAGAGCACCATCGCGCCGCGACGGATCTGTCGCGCCGCGATGGAACCTGTTTTACTTTGATTTGAATTCTGACTCTTTTCTAATCGTTTCGACTCTTTTTTTCATAAATAGAGGTCGTATCACCCCGTTTTCATTCACCAACGATCATCATCAATACCCTCTCTAATATTCTCTTTCTCTCTTCTTCATATTCTTAGCGGCCTAGCCTAAACACATCCCTAACCCACATCCTTGATACTTTCCTCGATCAAACACCATACTTCCTTCACGAGATTCGAATACTCCTTACCCTCCTCGATGTTGCATCCGACCTCGACGTGAAAGCTTGATAGTTCAAAGGGTTTGGTCCCAAATCTATATTTCAATTATTATTTGATTTATTTACATTGTTGATTTAATCTTTCTTGAAGTTACTAACGTGTTTATTGTTTTGATAGCAAGAAGGGAGGAACATTAAAGTGAGTAGATCTACTATCCTTATTCCTCGATTTTGATATAGAAATCATGTTTAGAATATTATTTTGATTTCTAGTATCATGTTAGGATGTCTTTATAATTTTTAGTATCATGTTTAGGATGTCTTTATAATTCCTATTATCATGTTTTTATGATTTCTAGTATCATGTTTAGGTTAACGCTTTGATTATGATTTTTATTAGTGACATTCTAGGGTTTATTATTAATCCATTTATTATCATGCCTAGGATCTTACTAATCATGTTTTTATGATTTTGATTATGATGATGATTGTTGTGTCAATTAATTATATGTTGCTTGATTATTCATTATTGATTGTTATTGCTTGATCACGCCCCTTCTTGCAGGTTTAAAGGGAATTTGTACTTGAAATCACGCCTAATAAGATAATTAATAATTTGCTTGATTTTAGGTTAATATGATTTTAAATTAAGTGATCACCAATAATAGATTTAATTGTGCATTAATAATTAACCAACGTAGATTAAATATGCTTCGGACTAACTTGATGTATGTATGTTGATCGGAAAGCGAACATGAATATCATAAGAATTAAGTAGAGACCGATTAAGGGCGGGTTCAATATCTTTTAGGTTGTATTCGTACCATCATCCCCGAATATCCAGTCATGGTTCCAGACTACTATGGAGTTAGCGATTTCCGTGATCGTGATTGGGGTGTAACCTTCACACCCGTGAACGGTTTACAAGTTCCTAATACTTGTTGGAGACTCTTTTATCTCTAGCTTCCTTCCCTTTGGACGCCACTATGCTTAAAAACATGATCAGAGTGGGGCTCAAAAGGTTGAGTTTGAAAAATTCTCTATAGCAGGTTTATATGGCATCTGCGTGTTTAGTACTTGTACTTCAATTTCAGTAATATAACTTCCTTCATGGTTGGTACAGATTTTGCCGAAGAGATGAACATGCTGCTACCAGCCAGTCGCTTACTGGCGCTAATTGGAAGGCCATTAGGGAGGCCATGCTACAGGATGTCCCTTAGGAGCAGCACAAAAAGTTCCTCGGAATTGAGGAGTAGAGATGGCAATGGATCGGATTTGGATCGGGTGGAGCTTCACCTGCATCCATCCATTATTCTAATCGCTCCATCCACATCCATTTATCACCCGCTTCACCCATCATCCATATCCGTTCGTCCACCATTCGCGGATGAAACGGGTGGAGCGAATGAATAATAGATGAGTATTAAAGTGAAAAAAAAAAACTCACATAAACTCTAATTTTCGGTTATTTATACAATAATGTTTTTATTTTATTAATTAAAAAAAGGAAATAATAACAACATATTGTTTGAAAAATTTAATTTGCAACAAAATAAAGCAAGTAATTTTCTTGCACATTTCATATTTTATTATTATTAAAATTCTTAGATAAAAAAATTTAATATATGTTAAACGGGTGGGTGGATGGTTAGCGGGTGAAGTAAAATATCATCCACATCCGATCCGATCCATCACCCACTTCATCCGTCACCCGCTTCTCATCCATTTAATTTGAGTTTTTGTCCATTTATTTAAAGCGGGTGGAGCGGATATCCATAATATTGCCATCCTTATTGATGAGGGCTTCCTCGGTCCCATGCTTAACTGCAGCGCCGACGTAAATATATTATTACTAAGGTTTAACACTTAGTTTATTTTCATTTTTTCGCTTTTACTAACTTGGTCCTGTCTGAATGCAGCTCTTCCTTAGACTCAGCGCCTTCCTGGATTGGCGCTCTAATGAGCAAGATCAGAAGATCAAGGTCGCTTGGAGCATGATCAAGAAAGTCCAGGATGAGAACACCGGCCTGTTGGCTATGCAAGAGATCCGACACAAAGCCGCTCTAAACGCACTGTCTGAAAAGTCAGCCAAACAGAATGAGGACGTCGTCATAATGGGCGATGCTATTAGGCAGGAGCAACTTGCTCGAGAGGCCCTTCAAAAAGAAAGGGACGAGGCGGTCGCTAACGCTTCTTAGTGGAAAGAGGGCTTCGAAGCCTCTGAGAAGCTGAAGGCTGAGTTGGACTCCAGCCTCCAGGCTTTTCAAGCGACTCTAGACTAAGTGGACTCCCTCAATCTTAGGGTTGAGCAGCATAACAAGTCTATTGCGGACTTGACCGAGCAGCTCAAAGCGCCACGGCCGATCGACCCTCAGTAGGTGGTCTAACTTGGGCATGCGGCTGAGGAGAGGCTGAAGAGCCGTTTCTATGAAGCGTTCTCCATAATGTTTCCCATTAGTGAGGTGGCTTACTATCAAGAGCGCTTTGCTCATCGGCTAAACCATATCTCTCTCAAGGAGGAGGCCGAAGCTATCGGACTACCTCCTCCTGAGTTCGTTGAAACTCCCTCTCCTCCTCCAAGCGATGATGAGGATGAATTAGAGGATGACGAGGGGGAGGAGAAGGAAGAGAAGCCGGCCAAGGAAGAGGAGCCGACCAAGACGGATGGGGCTGCCAATGTTGATGGTGACAAGGCGCCGGCTGAGTGCAGGGCTCTAGTCTTCTGCTGCAGTTTATCAGTTTTTTGTACTTAGCTTTTTATTTCTTTTTTCTAACCAATTTCCATCTTTGCCGCCTGTTTAAGTTGTCTTGTATTATGACTTCCTTATTTTGCCGCCTGTTTGAGCGGCTCTGATTTATGCATGCAAGTTCTCTCCTTTTTCTTTATTCATACTTAGCATATTTTTGCATTTTTTCATGCCCTATGCCTTTATTTTGAGTACGAATGGATATGGAGGTATGCCCCTTTATTCGGCATTTTGTCTAGTCCATATTTAAAGAGGTTTGATTAACTTGATAGATCTTATACCTCGAAGGGTATGACGACTATTAAGTTAATTAAATTATAATAATGATTGCCCTTGGACTAGGCAAATGCCGAATGAATTTCTATATGCGACAGTTTGATTGGCTTTATATTTAGTCTGTGCCGAGTCGTCCTTTGATGCTATCTCTTAGACATACTCATGAAATTTCAGATATGATCTCGACCTGATAATTTCTAAGTATTCTTATGGCTTAATATCTTAGGTATGCCTTTGCCCTTGGACTTATTTCTTATTTCTTATCCGTCCGACCAGGTTCATGGCCGGATGGATAACAATCTGACCATTATGGCTGAGTTGCTTTACTGGGAGAGACTTTCGATGGACTTTTCTCCCGGCTTTTCACATTTTCCCCTATTCAAGGGCTGAATTGCTAGGCTGGGAGAGACCTTGTTGGGTTTTTCTCCCGGTCGTTCGACCTCTCCCCTCTTAGGGGCCGAGCTGCTATGTTGCTAGCAACCTTTGTTTTTGTTTTTAGGCGGCATTCCTGCTTAATATTAGTAGGCAATATTTATGCAAAAATTTAATTAACAATGTTTGACTTTTCATTAATTTGGTTAAAATTCATTGTTTAGTCGTACGACTTTAACTACATCGCGCAATCGCTAGACCTTGTTGTATATACAATTTTTTGCTAAGTACAAAAAACTTTATACATAGTATTTTTTGAGATTGTCCGTATTCCAAGTATGAGGAATAGGACGATCATCTAGGGCTTCGAGACGGTATTTACCGTCTCGCACTTCTTCTCTGATTCGGTAGGGCCCTTCGAGATGGTACATGCTTCCATTCCTTTTTCTGATCTTTTAATTCAAATGCCTCAATTTGCAAAATTTGTGAAGGAAATTAAAGATCAACATGATGATAAGGAAGTGATAAATGACAAATGCTATACTCTTTTACGTGATAGCCTACCACCAAAGCTGCATGATCCTGGTAGTTTTACTATTCCCTGTATGATAAACGAAATATATTTAGATATGGTTTTGTGTGATTTAGGTGCTAGTGTTAATTTAATGCCTTATTCATTATATGAAAAATTAGGTTTGCAAAATCTTAAACCTTCCCCTATTTCTCTTCAAATGGCTGATAGGACTGCTAGACTCCCTCAGGGTGTGGTTGAAGATGTATTAGTTAAGGTTGGTGAACTTTTTTTTCCTGTTGATTTTGTTGTTATGGATATGAAAGAAGACCATAAGATCCCAATTATATTTGGTCATCCATTCCTTGCTACAAGTCAAGCTCTAATAGATGTTCCTAAAAGACAAGTGACCATTAGTGCCCAGGATAAATAAGTAGTGTTTAAGCTCTTTAATGAACATAATTTTATATTTGATGGTGGTACTTGTTTAAGAATTGATGCTACTAACCCTTTGGTTGATAAGTGTGTATTTGATAGAAATCTTGTGAGGAACGAGGACAATATTCCACCAAATGATGTGTTTAGCTACATGAAAGTAAGTTCGGATACAAAGCATGTCAAATATAAAATGGAATCATTTGGAGGGGAATATTTTCATGGGCAACATCACGGAGTTTCTTCTTTGTGTGGTGACCCAGGTTGAGCTAATAAAGAAGGTCAAGCTTAAGACCTTAAACAAGCGCTTTGCGGGAGGCAACCTGTATTTTATTGTTTTTTTATTTTAGTCTTTTCTAATTTTTGTGTGTTTTCGTTTTTTTTGGTTCTTAGAGAGGTAAGGAGAGTGTATCTTATGCTAGTGGGAGTTTCTATTTGTGTAGGTTTTGATCTAAGAAGGTTGATTTAAAGGGAGAAGAAAGCTGGATTGCCTTCGGGTTCGATCGGGCAGAGCTCGGCCCGATCGGGCGCGCGTACGGATCAGCGAAACTACTCAACCAACTTCGAAACGCCATAACTTTCTTGTTACTTATCGGATTTTTGCGTGTGACCTATAGTTAGAAAGCTCTTCAAGTCTACTTTCTAATGCAATTATAATCACTGAATTATAATTTATACATAAAAATTTATGATCAGAATAGTGCACATGACTCAATTTTTTTATCTTTTTCCCACTAACACTCTGTTTCATTCTTGTTCAAATTTGTTCCAAAGAGATGCATTGCAATCCTCGAGGCTTTGGTGACATTGATGTGGTGATGATGATGAGGAGTAGTCACCTTGACTACTAGCTTCCCTTTAAGACAATGGGGACATTGTCTGATTTAGCTTGGGGGGAGGTTCTCGTGTACGCATGGTATATCTTTCACCCTCTCTCTTTTTATTTATTTTTTTATTTCTTTTGGTGTGTTTAGACTAGTTTTTTTTATTATTATTATTATTTGCTTTATAGGTTAGTTTTTATGCTTCCCTATGCCCTTTGATGAAATTTTTTTCGAAATTGTTTTTTTTTTCTTGGTTATTGATGATAAATTTTGTGGATTAGTTGGTCATGATTTGATATTTGATTGCTTTGAAACCTTAATATGCGTCAATTTTTCCCAACTACTTGTGAATATAGTGCTTGACTAGTTGATTTGGTAAGAAATGTGTGTTAGTTTCTGGTATGTTAATGAAGTTGAGTATTGGTTTATAACTTTAAGTAATGTTTTTATGATTCATTATTATGCACATTGAGGAGGACGAAGGCATTTGTTCCTTAGGTGGCCTTCAGACGATACTAGATACATTTGTTCCCTTCTTGCTACCCATGTTGTTGCTTGTGCCCTTTTATTGTTTATTTAGCTACATTACAAGTCTATTCAAGCCCCATTGGTTACTAGTCCCAAGTAAAGCTGGGCACGAAGTTCGTGCCGGCCCGGCACGGCCCGTGTGCCTGCTGTTAATAACGGTAATATTACCGTTTTACAACAGCCATTAACGGCTAGTTAACGGCTATATTTTAGCCAAATTGCTCCCCAAAATTTCTATAAATACCCACCTCTATTCACTTCCCAAATCACAAAATCACAATCTCTTCTTCTAATCTCTTATATTCTCTAATAATCCTTAATCTCTTATTCTCTTATATTCTATAATAATTCTCTTAAATTCTCTAATTATTTTCTTAATATCGGAAAAAATTAAAAAGTTCGTAATCATAATTAGTGGAGCGTTGAAGCACGGTTGTAAGATCTAAACTAATCTTTAATTTATTATTGTTTTTATTATTATTATTAGAGTAATCTTATTTAATTATTATTGTTGTTAATTGTTATTGTTATTGTTATAATTGTTGTTATTAATTATTATTATTGTTACAATTATTGTTATCATTTATTATTGTTGTTATTGTTATTGTTATAATTGTTGTTATTAATTATTATTATTGTTATTTTTATTGTTAAAATTGTTGTTATTAATTATTATTATTGTTAATCAGTTTTTATTAAAAATCTAATTGTTAATTATGGCATCGAACAACCCATCATCTAGGGGGGGAAAGGCCGACTTGGTCGTAGTAGTAGTTCTAGGGAATCACCTAATACAACGAGCCCCCAAATTCCGAGTCCAACCAATGACCCCAGTTACTTCCCCCCGGGCTATGAGCCATTTAGGCACGATGGTACTTCCGGTTTTCAACCCTATAATATGTCGGGATTTCCACCACCAAACCAATTTCAACCACCACAACAATTCCAACAATTCGGTCAATTCCCACCTAATTATTTTGGTGATCAACAAAACTATTATTTTATCCAAAGTAGCCAAGAAGATACCCAAATTCCCTCCGGTTCTACCCCTTCTACTACTACTAACCCAAACACACATCATGAATGGTTAACTGAAAGTGAGATGCTACTTTTGAAAAACCGAAAGAGTGATGTATGGCGTCATTTCCTCCTAAATAAACCCCGAACACATGCAAAATGTAAAACATGTAATAGTGTATTCTCGGCACTATCCAAATCCGGGACGGGACACTTAAGTAGACACATGAAAACTTGTGCACAACCAGCTAGTGATCCAACCTAGCCAAAAATTTCCCAGTACCATCCATACGGCTTTACCTACAACTATGAGAGGGATGGGGATGAACTAGGGAAAATGATAGTACACGCCAAACAACCTTTTCTTTTCTCGGAAAGTGACCCATTTAACACTTACATTAACAAAGCACTACAACCCCAACATAAAAGAATCTCTAGGAAAACCGTTCGTTCCGCCGCCATGAAAAACTTCCTAGAGTACAAATTGCGGTTACAAGCCGAATTGAGTAACCTTAACTGTAGAGTGTCTTTGACAGCCGATTCTTGGGATAGTGGTTATAAATATCACTATTTATGTGTGACTTGCCATTGGGTAGATGATCAATGGTTGTTACAAAAAAGAATAATACATTTCAAAATGATGGAATACCCACACACCGGCATTAACATTGCTCACCATTTAATGCAAGCAATAGACGAATACAACCTTCGAGATAAAATGATGTCTATGACTTTTGAAAATGCAACCTCTATGACATACACAACTAATCTTGTCAAACAAAACTTAACCGATGTAATATTAGACGGTGACGCTCTTCATACTAGATGTGTTTGCCATGTACTTAACTTATGTGTACAGGATGGAGTTCGAGCAATTGGCCCATAATACAACAAAATGAGAGATGCTATTATGTCTATTAATAGCTCAAACATGAGGTACCAAGAATGGAAGAGTTTTCTAAGACAACAAAAGATAAGGGCAATAAAAATCAAAACCGATTGCCCAACTAGGTGGAATTCCACCTATGACATGTTAACCAAGGCAATTGAGTACAAGAATCTGTTAACACTATTTTACAACAAAAAATTTCCACAAACTGCTTTATATGATGATGATTGGTATAACTATGAAAGATATATGCAATTTTTACAGTTATTATATAACATGACATTTTGTTTTTCTTCTGTTTACAATCCTTGTGCTCAAAACTTTCTTTCTAATGCATGTTTACTCGCCCAACTTTTCGCTGATCATCGCAGCCAAAGTGATTATGATCAGTATCTTCCAGCAATGGAAACAAAGTGGCGAAAATATTATAGTGAAATTCCTTTGATTAATATTTTTGCATCCATATTAGATCCCAGGCAAAAGTATGAAAACACATTTATATTAGTTGACATTTATTTTCAATGCATGAATCTTGACAATGATGTAGAAACCTATAAGACTCAAGTGAAGGATCAATTTTTTGCTTTATATAGAGTCTATGAATCAAATATGGCACCGTTCCTCGCTCAGGCCCTTCCCAGCCATCCAAAAACGTAAGTAAGAAGGCCAAACATTTATTTTCACAAGCTACTAACTTGATTTCAAGGTTTTCAGGTGATTCATCAATCAGGAGAACGCAAAGCGACGTCTCGGAGTTGCAGATGTACCTGAGTTACGACTTCACCAAAGGCATGGACGACGATGAAATAAATAGCCTTGACCTCCTTGCATGGTGGAAACAACAAAGCGGGAAGCATCCAACTTTGGCGGCAATGGCACGAGACATTCTTGGTATCCAAGTCTCCTCTGTTGCCTCCGAACGAGCTTTCAGCACATCCGGAAGGGTTCTGGACGATAGAAGAACAAGTCTAAAACCCGAAACACTAGAAATGTGCGTGTGTTTCAAAGATTGGTTGGATGCGGAAAATTTCTCACAAGACCGTTCTTACGAGGAAAACGACAACGATGAAGGAACCTCCGCTTCTGACCGTTCGGGTTCGGCTAGTTCCCAATCTATCCAACTAGCCGATGAAGCCGAAGCCGAAGCTGACAACGTAGACGAAGACGAGCAACAAGAAGAATAGACAATTTTTGTATATTGTACGATTTTAATCATTATCGTTTATCAATATTATCATTATCCAATTTTCATTGTTATCATTGTACAATTTTCTCAACTCAAGTAATAATAATATGGAGTATGCATTATTCACATCCAAAGTCCAATTTGCCTTTTTTCCCCGTTTGTTATAATTTGTATATTAATATAACAAAAAGAAAATTATACCAATTAATAATACAAAAAAATATTTAATAAATCATAAACATCAAATTTTAAAGTAATAGTATAAACTAAATATATAAATATAAATATTGAATATAAAAAATAATAAAACATAAATGTTCAACTTAATTTATTTTATAACTTATAACTTATAAGTTATAAGTTATAAGTTATAATTATAATTTTATAACTTGTAAGTTATAAACTTATAAATTTATAACTTATAAAAGTTATAATTATAATTTTATAAATTATAGGTTATAAAATTATAACTTATAAGTTATAATTATAATTTTATAATTTATAAGTTATTAACCATTAACAAAAACTAAATAAAAAAAAATAAAAAATTATTT